TTCAGACAATTGGCCATATTTATGGCCTGTCTATATTGCGGCCCCTGGAAAAAGCCAGTGTGGGGCTTCAAATAACAAACAATTTTGTCCTAAAAATGACGTAAGGATTAAAACACACCTAATACTGGATTTCGTTTTCTGCACCTTTTAAATCAAAACATCCGATTTCAACAAACCCCTTATTGGTCGGCTTTTAAATTATCCTTGCTAAATGGCAATGGATCCACCCCACCCCCTCCCCTCTCATGTGGACTCCCACACGAAGAATCGATTAACTGAAACCATCTATTTGGAAGCTGTAAATGTAAATTGTCTCTGTGCCGTTGTTTTGATTATATTCGATGTCCCCCCCCCCCCCTTTTCTTTTCAGTTATGTTATCTGATTTTTCAACTATAGACATTTGAGATACATCGTCATCATAATCAGCATGTATGAGGTCCTTTACAGATTGTCACTGTTATCCTAGCCTGTCTGAAATAAACTTGGTCTCAAGGTGACTTTATATTTGAGAATCAATATTTGCTACATTAACAGCTGTTTTGTTTGACAGATTCTACTTGTCAAACGTCAATGTCCACTTGGAAAAACCTTGGCTGAAACCACGGAACAAATCTTACATAAACCTAAGTAATATAAGTGAAAACGGCATTTATAAATTCGAAATCGACATGCACGCGAAGAAGAGGAAACATAAACAAACCCAACGAAGCTGTGAAATCATATCTGATTTTAAAATGTCTATTTGACCAGTATTTGCTGTGTGACTTATTGGCTAATAAACAGCGGAAGCTGAAATATTGTGGTCATATTAAGCGCCACGGCGGATTGGGGTCGAATGTTGTCAACAATTTACCCTGCCAATGGATGTTGTAGAGCTTACTCCATTTATGGAATAAGCTCTACAACATCCATTGGCAGGGTACATTGTTGACAACCTTCGACCCCAAATCACGACAGAACGAATCCCTATCATAAAGGTAGGGTTGTGTCATACATAAAAGTGTGTTAAAAATAATAGGGTGGATGTCGACTTTTGACGTGTAGTATACTCATCATCATCATCATGTAGAAGGTCCTTTGCAGAACGTCGCTCTCATCACAGTCTGACTGGAAGAAACTCGGTCTCTCGCCAGTTCTCCCGCCTCGTGTACTTTCATACTCAATGAGTCACTTACATCCTGTGCCCATCTTTGTGTCGGTGGGCCCCTGCCCCTCCTTCCTGGTACCATGCCTTCTGCTATAATTTTTTCCCAATCCGCCGTGGCGCTTAAAATGACCACAATATTTAAGCTTCCGAGACAGGATGCTGTTTATTAGCCAATAAGTCACACAGCAAATACTGGTCAAATAGACATTTCAAAATCAGATTTGATCAATTTTTGCAGCAAGGAATTCAAGACAGCGTAGCCGCCTCAAGAGTCCGAAGAGAATCTTGTGGAACAGCTTGTCATTCCTGAAGCAGAAATGGAGTAAGCTCTACAACATCCATTGGCAGGGTAAATTGTTGACAACCTTCGACCCTAAACCACGACAGAACGAACCCCTATCATAAAGGTAGGGTTGTGTCATACATAAAAGTGTGTTAAAAATAATAGGGTGACCGTCGACTTTTGACGAGTAGAATACACAATGGCCAGGTACAACTGGCCATTCCATACCTGCTCAATAATTTAAGCCCATTTTCTTGTATTTTATTTGCAAAATTTTTTTAGTCTGTTATTCTAAATTTTATCCTTTGAGATCAAGACGAAGCTCTAGAATCACAGTTTTAACAACTAGCTTTATTAAGTAAGTTTTGTTAGATCATAATCCATTATAAATTGAGACTGAGTCTACTACGACTACATCTGCGTCATTGTGAATTTAGCCAATAAGGGATTGAATGCACGTTGGCTTAATGTTGGCTACAGAACTGTTTTAATGCTTTGCCATCAACTACGTGCTATTCATTTCTTTTTACCTTCTTTAATGACACATTCAAAAATTATTTTAAATAATTCGAGAAAAATCGTTCAGATTTCACTTTCTTCGGCTAGACATGTTTATATTCTGGGGGTTTATTCTACAGGGCCCTTGAGTTGAAATAAAACTGTCAGAAGTCTGGCCAACGGTTGCATGGCGGCTTGTGGTAGAGAGTCAATGTTATATTTCTTTGCTCGTTTTGCAATTTAGCCATTTTTTGATTGCATGGTAACATTTAAGTATGATATTCAACATCCTTGAATGATATAAAAGTTAAAATACAGGTGGGTCAGTCTTTGAAACTAACAAGCACAAACACTAGTAATGCACTTTACTTTAGTTTACCGATCTTAGTTCGGCTCAGTACCGAACCACATACAAAGATGATGATACCGACAATATAAAAGATGGGCCAGGATATTGATGTTGGGCAACGCCAACTGAAATAACATCAGTAACTTACACAAAGTAGCTAAGACTCAGAAGCATAACAAATGTGTTGGCATATGTTTAAATTCATTTAAAAAACTCATCTTTTTTTTAGACGACTACTACCTGACTCAACTGACTGTCTGACGGCGAACCCCACCAGGAAACACCAAGTCACAAGTCCAAGCGATAAATACGATAATAAACATCCGGTGACACAAAGTGCTACCATTCGGATGCGGACCACCTGGGCACAGATCCTGGAAACCCTGTTTAACCCATGGGTTATCTTATCTTAAGACCCCATCAGCAGCCAGGGAGGGGCTTTAAAACAACGAACAATTGCACCCAATTGTGGGATTCCATGTTAACAATAATTTTTCACAAATGACAAAGTATGTATGTGATTCAACCCCACCAGGACTACAACAAGCGACCAACACCCGGTGACACAAAGTGCCACTATTTGGATGTGGATCACCTGGACACAAGTCCCAGAAAGTCTACTGAACCCATAGTTATATAAGTATTCTCTTCAGAATACTGGTCCCAAATTATTAGCTGTATAAAAAATCCCATTCAGGACCTCAAGAGGTCATATAGTTGCAAATATGGAAAAGAAACACTGTGAACTATGCTTCGGGTTGTTATATAATTTCATGGGATCCAAACTCCTAAGTCTTCGGTAGTACAGTTGTAAGTATTCCACCTGTCACGCGGTTGACCGGTGATTGATCCCCCACTGGGTGATAATTTGTGTGTGGGTAGCTGGGGGGTGGGGGGGGGGGGGGGGGTTGGCACTTTGTGTTAAAGTTTACAGCTAGGCTCCAATATCTGCACCTTTCGCTTTGACTTGTGGTTTATATGCTTATTGGTCATGTCATGGGTAGGTAATCTTCTTTCTTTTCGTTCGGCCTTGACAAGTTGGTCGGCATGTTGTGTTGTTGTTTACAGCTAGGCGGCGATATCTGCGCCTTTTGGCCCAACACATCTGATTTCAACAAAGTACTAATTAGTTGTCTCTTACAACATGATTTCTAGTGGCAGTGCATCTATTCTTTACCCCTCCCCCTCCCAAATGTGGCCCCGGAACACACGTGGCAAGTTATGGGTAATGTGAACAATGGATTAACATCTATTCTTCCCCAGAACGCTTCAGTGGATAGAAAGCTATTCCTTTTCACAGCGCTTAGCTTAACGTCTAAACATTTATTTCCATCGAGCAATAACGGCAGAAGTGGAAACTGACGATGATGACAACAATATTTTCACTGCTTAACCTCTTGAGGCTCTAACAGGGATGTTTTTTGCAGTAAATGTTTTGGGACAAATATACAGAAGATTCCCTTTAAATAATATGGCCCCTGGCATCCCAGTTTTGCATTCCTTTTTCTACATTGTACACTGCAAATGTATTAGTGGACCAGAAGGTTTCTAAATGGCAGGACTTCTGTGAGAGACAGGTCAGGCACGCCGAGTAGTGATCCCAGAGTTGACTGCAGCAGTTGAAGGAAGATCTAAAACAGCATGGAGATAGACGAATAATATGGGGAAGATATAGAAGGAGCTGCAAGTGAAAAACTAAAAAAAGAAGCACTTGGTTGGGGTATAAATCACAGAAGAAGAAAAAAGGTTTGACACAGTTTAGTTTCCCTGATCCCCCTCTTTCCCTCCCTTTCCACACACGCACGCATGCACACACATTCTCTCTCACACACATTGTAAGCAAATATTACCCAAAAAAATCTTCCGGTTAAAATGGACGCTAGACAGCGGCGCCGTTCGGAACAGAGGCAAATTTTTTGCTTCTGCCGGACGGTGGCCGATGCATTTTTGCTCCATTTGTAAACTGGATATAGTTTCGTCGCCCAGCTTCTGAGTTGAATGCATGGCGTGACCCTGTGAGCTGCGGATTGCATTTGGAATGTTTTTTTTTCGACTGTGACCAACGTGGTGGTGTGAATTGTAGATTCAGAAAATGGCGCGATGCCTGTCGTTCAATGCTTGCGGGACCCGTATTAAAATTGATCACGCGGACAACTGCTGATCTGTTGACGACAAGTTCTGCTATCATCAATGATGAACTGCATTTCTAATGTTGGACTGTTTGTGTTAGCACTTCGGATGGCTACCATATGCTTTAATGCGAGTGTATGCTAGATATGCTGAGACAGCAGTCTGTCAATCTTTCCACAAGGGACTGTGATAGACATTCTGAGTGTTTTTCGCTGGCACAGGAGCGGAGCAAAGATGGGGCAACCTGTTTGCTATGAAGCTGAAACTAAGACTACCAGACTACCAGAAATATTACCTGATTGAAGCCTCTATATTTGTTACATGCATATTGAGACAGTGCACAAAGCCTTACATCAAAACAAAATAGCTGTTTCCCATACTTTTTGTTTTTGCAAAGTCATTGCAGTGTTCACATGAAGTCAGTGTGTAGACACATATTGTAGTATGTGAGTATAACTGGAAATTCAATTAATATTGATTTGTTCTACCAGCTTATTCTATATTTTTATGTTGATAGCCTTTTATGACTCAATTTTGTTTTTTAGGTGATGTCATTATTGTAATGAATAAAATTCAAACGACGTGAATCAACATGTCTGGGAATCATTTAATTGAGACGTCATGGGACAGGTATGGTTTATTAATTACAAATAATGAGTTAAAAGAGACAAGATGAAATTATCTTGTGATTCACATGTATAGACACACTGTCATCCCAGTCTCTGTTTGTATTGGGTAGTGTTTGACCCAATGTTTTTCAGAATCCCTGGGAAAAAAAATCTTCAGAAAAAGAGCAATTTTACACATTTCAGAAACAAATATCAGGCAAGGAGCCAACAGTCTGCATACAAGTAAGCCAGCTCTATAAAAGGGATGTGTGTTCTGGATTTAGACCAAAGAGTGGATCAACAGTCAGAACCTTTCACTGAAATTTACAGCTTGTGAACGCTGAGAAGAAAGATCAACTGGCATACATCTCTTGAGGCCTGTCAACTAATTATAGCGTGAAACTTTCTTATCCTGTGACCTGGTCGCTTGTTAACTACTGTAGCCAATAGGGAAAATATGACGTAAGAATTTCCGTAAATAAAGCACGTTTTTTAAAAGGACCCACCTCCCTTTTCACCCTAAATGCTAGTTTTAATCAATGTAGTCGTCTCCTGTCAGGATGCTATGAATTATGTTAGCTAAATGTCTCTGAAATGGTACTAACCACGAGCATAAGTTTTATGTCTTCTCTGAGCAAAATGGTCAAAATTGTGAACTGATCTATACCCTCTTTTTGTGTGTCATGTTGTTGATTTTTGAGACTATAACATTGATGCCAAATTTTAGATATCGGGAGCTGGAGCTCCTTTTGTCTATGATTTAAATTTTTCCTTACCACCTTTTGGTATATTTTTGCACCAAGTGATCTTCCAGAACAAAACAATCTTTCACTCTTCAAAGCCACAACCAACCATGGTGCATATGTAGTTGTTTGATCTTAGCTGTAAGCATTAAGATACAAGTTTCTGCGCTTTTCTCTTGTAGGATCTGTGTGTGAGATAATAATATGCAGGAGTTGTAAGCATGCACGTCCATCCTGTTTGTATTTGCAGAAAAAATATTGTTTGGAAAAAAAAAGTAATGCTGACATTCTACAGTTATTGTTTGTGTTTATTGTTTGTGTTTACATTGTTACAATTTTGCTGCTTTGTAGTGTGTAAATTTTAGTAAGCGGAAATAAAAGTTAATATTTCTACACGCTGTAGGCTTGTCATGTCAAAGATGAGAATCAGACAGACAAAAATCCCAGAAATCATATTCAGCAGTATAGGCATATAGCACAGTTATATTGATGCACACCCGGCTCGCTAACTCAGTTGGTTAAACCTGACTGTGCGGCGACCGGTTGATGAACTCCTTGTGGTGCTGGTTCATGCCAGGGGGTAGGCAGAAAAGCCACATTTCTCCCTGATTTACTATATCTAAAAGGGAATCAAGGCCAAAGGGTTGAGATATCCATATTAAAGAGCCAAGGAGTTTTAACTCATGGTTTCTGGATACTTCAAAAATAAAAATTGAGGGCACCACAAAACAGTTACAAAGTAACCAGTAGTCTAGTGTGGTTGGGTTTGTTTTGCTACTGTTAAAGCATCCTCTTCTGCTACTTTTTTTATATTACTCTTCCATGTTGGTTATCTGAGGCTCTCTTCTTCATGTGTTTTTAACAATATCTGAATCTACTTTTGCACCTCTGAAAGCCCTTAGATCATCTAGTGTACATTTTAGAGGATCAATACTGACATCCTTCATGATCTGAATATCGAAGGATAAATGGAATTGTTTCTCGTAAACTGAAAAAACTTTAGCCATATTATTTGCCTTACTAGTTTTAGGAGGTCAGTTAAGGAGGGTAAATTCCTGGATGAAGACTCAGGGATAACAAGGACACATCAATATACTTGACCAAAAGCTTCTTTAAGAAGAAACTGACAACAGTGTGAAATACTAAGTGAAGTCTTTAGGTAAGGATATTGTACAAACAAACATGACATGTGGCTCTTGTCATAACCTTTCTTGTCTTACATTTGTGTTTGCAGCCAGGCTTCTCAAGGAACTATTGGTCATGAGGTTAGTCGTTTTTGTTTTGTTTTTTGTTCTCCCTTTTTGATTAAGGCAGTAAACAAAAGAATTTGTGTTAGTATCTGTTAGATAATTATGCAAATACTTACTATTTTACTTAGTCGCTACTCTTCTACCTTGGGGTGTAGAGGTTTGCCAGAGAGATCGCCAGACGTCTCTATCAGCAGTTTTCTTTCTTGCTTTGTTCCATTCCACTCCTCTGACAGTTAGGGACTGCGGATGTTGTCTTCTCTGGGCCGCCCTGGTGGTCTGGTTCCCTGGTTCTTAGCCTCTCATGCCTGCCATAGTGACTGATTTTCTTCTATTCTGCATACATGTCCAAACCATCGTAACTGACATCCACTCAGGTTTGTAAGGACTGGGTTTCAAGATCTTGGCGTATTGTCTGATTGCGGACTCTGTCCCTTCTTGTCACTTGGACCACCTTTCTCAGATATCTTATTTCTGAGCCCTAAAGCTGGCTTCTGTGAGCTGTTGTCATTGCCCATGACTCACACCCATAGATCAGGACTGGTACATAGGTAGAGCGGTAAACAGACATTTTCGTTTTCTTGAATTGTGCAAATAATTATGCAAAATATTTTCTTACATGAACTGACCAGCAGAAATGGATGGGGGTTGGCGAAAAAGTAATTGTTCTGCCAGAAATTTAAATTAACTTTGAAATTCCAGTATTTTTACTGTAGTCATAGTCTAATGGCATTATACATCATATTTGTCCATAACCTCCTGTCTTGAGTATTGCCAGTTATTTATTTACTGTTTCCATTTGTGTCGTCTGCGGCGTCCGTGGCTAAGGCGTTGCGAGTCTGACTCGTAATCCAACGTACCGCGATCGAAACCCACTGCGGGCTGCATGGATTTTTATCGTGGTATGGGACGTCGCAGGTCGACCCAGCCTAAAATGGGTACCAGGATGGCTGTCCTGGGAAAGTAAAGATGGTGGGCGTAATGCTGACCACATTACCCACCGAGTGCCGATTGGTCTGTAAAAATATGGGTGCTCTTCCCATATGCCCGATGCGCCTAAAGGCGTGTAAAGGGATTTTTTTTTTACTATTTGTGTCATCTAATATCCTCACCTTAGATGTTTTCTTGTCTTGATACTTAACATTTTTCACAGTGTATTCCACTTATGACTGAAATAGATTAGATCTTCCTCTGTCTTGATCCCTCTAAATATTTTATAGTGTATTCCACATATAACTGACATGAATGAGATCTTTCTCTATGACTGACATAAATGAGATCTTTCTCTATCTTTATCCTTTTGAATTTGTCACAGTATATTCTACATGTGACTGAAATAAATTAGATCTAAAGATCTTCCTCTATATTTGTTTCTTTAAATTTGTCCCAGTATATTCAACATCTGACTGATGTAGGTTTAAATCTTTCTCTGTCTTTTGTCCCTTTAAATCTGTCACAGTATACTGCAGATATGACATAGATTGCCTACTTTTTTTATTACTAACAATTTGTGTTCATGAATTAAATTCTTCTGAGACATATTTGTTCAAGATTTCAGTATACATCTGTGGGACTACATCTCTTCAGTCTAACTAATTTCTGATTAACCAAAAGTACAGTGGTACCTTGGTATGTGTACTTAATCAATTCCTTGTACTTGGATATACACTAGACACAATTTTCGTAAGAAAAGAATCCAGTTCTTATTGGCAAATTATGCCCTGCTCGCTATCGTAGTTGGCTAAACCGGACTGCGAGGTGACTGGGTGACGAACTCCTTGTGGTCCGGGTTCACGCCCAAGGGTAGGCAGAAAAGCCACATTTCTCCCAGATTTACGGTATTTATAGTGGAATCAATGCCGAAGAGTTGCTATATCCATAATACCGAGTCTAAGGGTTAACAACTCATGGCTTCTGGATACTTAAAAAAAAAAAAAAAATTGGCAAATTATACATTGATGGGATTGTATAAAATAATTTTTATACTGCCCATTACTAAAATACATAAATACAAAAGCAGTTAGATAAAATAATTGACAATATAACCTCACTTGACCTTCCTGAGAAGAGTTTTTTTCCTGCTATTTTGACCTGGTTGAGGCTCATCAGTTGACTTTAACTAAAAATCTGCCAAAGAACTTTGCTTGTGCGTATTCCTTATGATGTTTCTGAAATGTGACAATGTCTGGTCATTCCAAAATATGCTATTAAGACTTGTTTGGGCTTTGTTGGGGTGATATTTCTCTGGAACGTCATTGATTTTTGGCTTTGTCTTGAGAGAGGTAAACAAAGATTACGTATAGAGACTAATTTTGACACCTACAAGTCCTAGCATGCAGGTGGTATACCAGGTAAAAGCGTCAATGTCACATACCGCTCATGTCGCGTGCCTGATTCAAGGATTGCTCCTTAAGAACCAACAGCACTCTGAAATAATAATGTTGAGGTGTTGGCTCGTATTGGTCTAAGGGATACCCCGTGACCAAAATACGCTCGAATTATTTCAGGAGTAGGGCAACTCAAGCTCTGGCACTACAGAATATCTAATATTCCTAGGCACACTTGGCTGGACACCCCCACTACTATAAAAAGAAAGCCCCCAGGTTATGATAGTATACTACCATAGCCATGTTAACACAGATTCCACTCACTAATCACACAAACATAAAAGCTAGACAGTTAGAATGGTGAAACTGGGACACCCAAGTCAGCCATGAAAATTTCGAATTTGTTGTAATAATTTCAACATATATATATATATATATATATATATATATCAAGACAATCAAGATGGTTTCCAGTGAAAGGAGTTCAGGACTTAACGTCACAGCGATGATGTTGAAACAGCCAGATTAAGTTCTCAAAAGAGTACATGAATCATCCCAGTGAATTATAGGTAGCCATGTAAATGGAGCAAGTCATCTCAGATGGTACTTATCCGATTTGGTAGGTCACTGCTCCCCTCAGTCCATGGTGATTTTAATCGGCTGACTCAATAGATCACTTTTCCTCTGGTTGCTCTGGTAAACACTGATCGTCTCGCATATGAGAACAAAGGAACTGCACTGGAGCCCAACAAAGCTCCTAAGGAAGGATTCCTTGGATTGATGACACAGGTGGCCTGCAATACTGTCTCTCAGCCACTGGAACTCACACACAAGCTCCTGCCATGTTGAAGTTCTGGCAATAATAGGTAGGGTTTTTGGGTAGGTTTGGTGATAGGGATGGTATGGGTTGGTGATTGTTGGTTGGACTGTGATTCGTCTGCCTGACTTCTAAGGAGATATCATCCAAAGCTTAGGAATCCTTCAAAGATTAAACTGGTATTTTGAAAGCACCATAGTTTAATTAGAGAATTAAAACGTCTCCCGACACCTCAGAGGTCTTGCAAAAGAATGCCCGCCCCCAGAGTCCGCTTGGCGTCTCTAGAAAAGAAGTCCTGTATTCGTGCCGAAGGAGTAAAAAGGCTTACAGGAATTTCTGAATAATATTCAAGAAATATTTATCCCACAGTTGCAAGTTTGAAAATGTAGACTTCTCAAAACAACTAGAGGGTATAGAAATGTTTATTTCACCAGCTAGAGGTATATATTAATATGAGGGACTATATCCCCCCCCCCCGGACGGGTTTAAATTTGAAATGTGACGTGCCCGCTAGGGATGTGAGCGTCACGACTAGTCCACAGTGTAGGGTTGGCTGTTCACTCCACGACAGTCAACACAGAATGTATACCAAGTTGAAGATATACTGAGGTGCCATTGTATCTTAAACAAGCAGAAAATACATTATTGTTGTTAAGCTATGTAAATTTTTTTATTTTTTTTTATTTTGGAAAAGGATGATAATCCAGAAGATGAATCAGTTGTCAATGAAGAAGCATTTTTGTTTGAAGAAAAAGATGCGGCGTACAAAGGGGAAATGGATTTGGATGATCCTGCCTGTAACGAGTAAGGCTATATGTGTATTTATTATTTGCCAGCATATCCTGAATATACAAAATATATAATTTACGAACATAAAAGTTTGTATGATTTCTTTTCACAAATAACTGGTTTTGGGTGGCTTTATTCGTTTATCTTTATTGAAACTTCTTCACATGCTGGCCTAAAATATACATTGGTGATGATAACTCCAAATATTTCATGTTCTTATGGTGCCGAAGTTGTTGCTGCCTGTGTTTGTTGCCCAGCTATTCAGTCTTTCCACTCGCATCTTTTCTGCCTTTGTCTCTCTCTCTCTTATTTAATATTTCCCCACAAAATGCAAATTTTTCTATTCCATTTTTTCTGTTGATGTAACCTGTAAATTTCTTTTGTATTTCTTTATGGTGTTGATGATGATTTCCCTTTGTGGGATCCGGTACCCCATTTTGGGAGGAAAAACACAAAGAATAGACTCTGCATCAAGCATGTCATAAGCAGCGACTAAGTAGCGGTTTGCTGAAATCGCAAGCGTTTGGCATTTGAGCAGATATCACAGCCTAGCTGTAAACTACAACACAACATGCTAACTACCTGCAGAAGAAAAAAGATGATGATGATGTTGTAACACCTGCAGCTCTGAATACTTATTTCTGTTTTTTTTTCCTGTTTCCATTAAATACTCAATGTTCTTCTATCAAACGGCACACAACTCGATGCCCCTAGTTTTTTAACTTTCTTCTTTTTCACGTTCACTGGATGTAAACTCTGTAGGAAAGTTCTGGTTGTTTGTCCACTTCTGAACTTAGTCTTGTTCCAGAACTTGAATTTTGCATGCACATTCATTTAACAGATCTGGCTTATTGATGTGCAGACTATGTTCCTTGCCTCTTAGGCAGATGCACTCCAACTACGAAGGAAACACCCTAAATAAGTCGACTTTTATGACTTGCTTGTTGGAGGGTAGTGGGTCTATTCTAGTTTTCTCTCTACAGAGGAACAAGTCCCACACAGCTTTACAGCATATTTCTCTACCTGTGATGTTTGTTTTTCATGATGTTGCTCATTTTTTTTTTAAAGAGACTTAAGGTGTGTGAGTTCTGTTCATTATCTCTGGCAGATGTCACTCTGTAGCCTGGAGATTGAAAATAAATGACATTTGTTTTTTACTTTATTCTATTGTTCTGTTTATAATGTATTACAGATAGTGCATTCTTTGCAATAACAAAGAATTTAGCTTTACTAACATTCAGTAACCTCTTCTCTACCACTTTGTCTATAGCAGGGCTGTTCAATTAAGTTTACTCAGGGGCTGAAGTGTTGAAAATGTGGATGGTCATAGGCTAAAGGACCCAGCCCCAGCATATAAAGATTACAATACAATGAAACTGGCAACGATCCACGGGCCAATAGATAGGCCTCTGTTGGGCCAGACTTAGCCTGGAGCGGCCAGTTGAATAGCCCTGGTCTACAGCTTTCATTTGTTATGTTGTCTGGTGTATCCTTCTGTCTTTCTGTGATTGCTGATAAATACATGTCAAATTATCAACTGAACTGGTTTGCAGACTACGTTCATTCAGGCTTTGCTGTTAATAACGGTCAACATTATTTCTTAGAGTTTTCTTAAAGAAGATTGTAGTGTGTTACTCCTTCACACAGCACTAGGTTACTGCATTGTGATCTGTGGTGACTAACTAACTATCTTCTTTCTTTCCTGTCCAAAGAATTATCTGTGAAAATAATTTTTAAAAATTTCTAAAGTTTATTGGACTCATAACGATGAGCCCTTGAAGATGAAAGGTTGCACCATGAAATATTTGGTCGCATGTTGGTAGCAAATGCTGATTATAGAAATCTGGGGCACATTTTTCTGTAAGGTGCCTTGCTAGTTTTGATTTGGCTAAGCAAGACGTGGTGTGTAGCTGAACAAATTAAAATAAAGACTCGATCTTGAAGCACCTCCACACTCATGAGCAGATCTGATCTGTCAAAGAAAAACTAAAATGCAAGTACCATATTTCCCCAAGTATAAGATAGTATACCAGACACACTTTGATTTTGGGACCAGAAATTTGGGACAGAATCATATGATTACATAAAATCTACTGCCGTTGTATAAGATGCACTGTTTTTAGACCCTATATGTTTGGAAAATAAATGCGTCTTATACCTGTCGAAATACAGTATTTGCTTCTGATATTTATGGGAGATAGTAAGATATTTGTTACAGTTATTCATTTACAGAGTTACCCTAAGAAAATGTGCCAGCTGTTTACAAAAACAATTCTTGTAAACTGTGTTGACAGATTGTTAGGCACAGATAATGGTGAGGAATTATGCGCTGGTGCTGAGGAAGCAGCATTTGCAGATGTGATCGTGTCTGGAATAGATGATACCCAGGAAAGTACGTTTGTTAATGATGGAGAACAAGAGGAGCCAATGAATGAAGAAGAGGTATATTTACATTCTTCACTTTTTATGCTATAGTGCATGGAACATCGGTTATGTATAGTTAGTGATGTCATATTAAACGAGAACAAAAATTTTTTTTTAATGAGCAGTAGGTCTAGGTTCAAGAACAATTCAAAATGTTTGTGTGTGTAGTTTAAATATCCAGTCTTCTGGGATTAATGTTTTGTCTACTTGTGTATATTGTACATATCTGAGATGTGATGATGACACAGTGTTACAACCAGAATGCAAGTAACAGTGACAGGACCTAATGGATCAAGTCAACAGGTGGAGTATGGTTTAGATGTTAACATAAAAAAAATAAAAAACCACTGGTAATCAACAATGGAAAAGAGCGAACAACTATGAACATCACAGTAAACAGAAAGATATTAGAACAAGTAACAAGTCTTTCCTATCTGGACTATGTTTTAACAGATGATGGCAGAAGTGAAACAGAAATCAAAAAGAGAATAGGAATGGCTGAAACTATCTTCAGTAAGATACATAAATTATTGGCTGCTAGAGAAATAAACAATACATCAAAAATGAGAATCATCATGTTATGCGAACTCAACACTGCTGCATGGTACAGACACTTGGACAACAAACAGGCTACTAGAAAATCAAATCGAGTCTCATAAAATGTGGATGTACAGAAGAATAGGTAGGTCAATACAGTACAGAGGTTCTAGAAAGACTGTGAATGAAAAGAGAGTTATTAAGGGGTAAAAAGGGAGAATTGAAATATTTTTGGCCACAAAGTCATAATACGATTTTAAAGACGATACTGAAAGGAAAGGTTGAAGGCAGGGGACCAAGAGGTAGATAGTGTTACAAGTGGGAGGACAACATCAAGAGATGGATGAACAGCAGTCTGAGAGAGTGTAACAACTAAGATAAGAGACAGAGCATGTTGGAGATCCCATGCAGCCAACCTTCATTATTAAGACAGCACCTGATTGATTGCATATTGGTAGTTGGAATGTAAAAGAACTAAGTAGCAATAGTTTGTTCATAAATATGTTTGCATTCTAAATCAGAAGTTACTCATGATCGTCATATCCATGTCAGAAAGTGTGCGTGAACAAGCGCCATGTCAATCAAAGTGTCTCGGATCGGTCATCTTCCCTTTTATGTTAGGCTATTTAAATCATAATAAAACAGTTTAAGATTTTACATTTATTTTTGGAGATTTGGAAGGTGCATTTATTTTAACTATGTTTATTTGTGTGTGTATATATATATATATATATATATATATATACGATGGAACCTCGCTTAACGAGCATAATTCGTTCCAGAATCATACTCGTTAAGCGAAACACTTGTTATGCGAAACAATTTTTCTCACATAAATTAATGTAAAATACGATAATGCGTTCCATGTCAAAAAAGATACTCACAAAATGCTATGTATAACGTTTATTCAAAGAAAATTATATAAATATTGTTAAGGAGAGAGGATCACCTTCATCTTTTCTTCAAACGCGTAACAAACCCACATGGAATGCGAATTTGATTTGCAGAAAAAAAAAGTCGAAATAATTATGATACATAGCTAATATTTTTTTTTTTTACTAGAAAGATGTCCAGAGATTTGTTTTTGCCGACGCTTCAAAAATTTGGCGAAAATGCGACACAGCATTATCATTAAATAAATTTGCGATGCGCATAGCCACTTCCTTATTAGGGCGATGCTTCTCAATGTAAGATGCAACAGTTTGCCATGCTTTCAGCATTTCTCTTATTTCGCCAGAAAATTGTTGCTTTTCTGTTACCTCCTCCTCTGACAACCTTTCCTCCAAAACGCAGCTCTTGGCTGTGCTCTTCCACAAGCTCTTTGATATCACTGTTATCCACCTACAACCCCATGATAGTGGCCAAAGACCCAATCTCATTGACTACAAGTTTCACTGTCTCGAACCCCTCAAAGTCACAAAATAGACAACACTCTCCGGCCAAAGCTTCTTCCAAGCAGAAGTTAAGATTCTCTTGGTAACACCTTCTCCCGCCTTGTTGATCATCTTGAGGCAGGCAACGATGTGGACGTGATTTTTCTCTAAAACTCTTTGAGAGTGAGGTTGGTCCCTTCAGTCACATGAAAACAATGCTCGAAGAGTGCTTTAGTGTAGAGTTTCTTAAAGTTAGAAATAACTTGCTTGTCCATGAGCTGGAGTAACGGAGTGGTGTTGGAAGGCAGAAATTGGATCTTGATGAACTTAAATTCTTCAGAGTGTTCATCTTGTAGGCCTGGAAGATTCATGTACGTATATCACAATCTAACACAAGTTTGAGAAAATGTGTGATCACAAGTGACACTACGATGCTACTTGAACGAGTGCTAAACACAGACTGATGTAACATGCACACAATTCGGGACTTCCCCTCTCCTCGCCACTCATTATGCAAAATGTTGCTCGTTAAGCAAGTCATTTTTTTTACAATTTGTTTTGCTCGTTATGCGAGGTGCTCTTAAGTGAGGTTCTACTGTATATACACGCACAGACACATTTATACACATAATGATAAAATGTTGCATTGTTTGTCTACACATTTACAGATTAAATCTGAAGAAACTGGTGAAGATGGAACAGTTAAGTCGGAGAGAACTGGGGTTATCTCTTTAGCTGCTACAACTTCAAGAGACTCAATACCAGAAAAATTGGGTATTAATTTCTTACTTAGTCGCTCCTCTTCTACCTTGGGGTGTTGAGGTTTGCTAGAGAGATCACTAGACTTCTCTATTGGCAGTTTGGTATTAATTTTTGTGTATTAAATTATTAACTTTATCATAGCCTTTGTGTTAAAATAAGGAGAAAAAAAGAACTCTCTAGCCTGTTGTGTATGCTGTAAGAGGGTTAATGACGAGTTTATAATCAGTTTGCTACTGGAACAGTTAGCATCTACCCCTTAAGAGATTTTCTGCTGTAGACTGAGCACCTATAGGTATACCCGGTATATGCACAAAGAAGTAGAGGTAGACTTGGAAGAATATAGGAGGCACTGACAGCTTCACAACATCAGCCTTGTCTCGGCTGCTGATCATTTGTTAAGCTGCTGCACTTAGCAGCACAAAGTGAATTTTGAAAAAAGAAGAAGAATGGACAAGTCTTTTGTTTAAAAAAAACAGTCTAGCCGACCAGATCAGAGGAAAATCTTTTCCTAGAGGTGCATAGAGCCTTTAATCTAGAACATTTATGGAATTGGCAGCTGGAATGTTGAAACTATGTATGAACTGAGAGACACAGCTGGTTAGTTTAGCAGCAGATTGTCCTCATTGCACATAGACAAGTCTATAAGTACTTGGATCCCATCTTTAGTATATCCCCCAGTGTGTGGCGACTGGTAACACCAGTTCTGTACTGGTTTACTATTCTTGTTTGGCGACACCTCTTGACCTGAAGTTCTTATAGTCTTTTGAGTGTTGCCGATTCACCATCGTCTCCGGAATATTCTTCTCATCCTACCACCTTGAGAGCATTGGAAATGTCAGACCAGTCCATTGATTTTCCTGTACCTACTGTGGCCCTACGAGCAAGTAAGTCGCCCCGTTAATTTCCACTTACCCAAGAATGTCCTGGCGCAAAAATGAAACTGATTCCTAGCAGACGAGATTTCCTAACAACTCCAACCATTATTTTTTTCCACCCTGTCTCTTTCTTTTTAAGCATGCTCATTGAATCACTCAAAAAGCATTAATGGGAATAAAGCTGTGTCTCTAGCCACATTATTGCTTTCGTCACCGCCATCACCTCCGTACATAGACTACTTGTAGTCAAGGCAAAAGCACTGCTATTTTCTTTTAGTTTTTTTTTAAACCAGAACTGTGAAAGCCCATTAAATTTATATATATTTAACTAAGGATGTGTTGATGTAAACAACTGCACCTCCGTCAGCAGAATTTTCAATAATTAAGGCTTGAATATCTGCCGGAACCACCAAGGGGCTTTGTTGTCTGCATTACACAAATTAAAGGAAACACAATGCAGACAGTAATGAAAATGAATTAACAGGTATGGAAAAGACCTGATACTGGATAGCATAAAAGATTAATGCAGAAGAAAAATAGTAAAGATAGGGTAAAATCTGTTAATAGCAAAACTAGGGATAGGAAGCTCACTAGAATTCACTAAACAGTATTTATGTACAGACACACACAGTAAAAACCTTGTCAACAGAATTCCAAGGCGCTGAAAATCAAGTTCGTATTAAACAAATGTGTGCTTACCGGGGACAAATAACAATAAAACATCCCTGTTGGGACCAACATTTTTTTTCATGTTAATCGAATGTTCTTCTTAAGTGAGTTCATGTTATCAAGATTTTACTGTGTATACATATATACACACATGTATAAATGTGTGTGTGCGTGCACAATCGTGTGTGTAATCTTAAATGAAAGCTCGAGACAGATAAATAAAATGGGATGACACAAGAACTTCTGCAGATGTCAAAGGATTAGAGAGTTTTGAGTGAGTAGGGTTTTGAGTGAGTGGAGTTTTGAGTGAGTGAAGTTTTTGAGGCTCCATTTGGTGATTAGTCCGAAGAAGTATAACCAATGTTTTGACTATAGTTTAAGAACACACTGTTAACAGGTTCTCAAATGCTGGTATTTGTGACTTTGTCCTTTCTTGTGTTTTTGGTGATCTATCAGAAGCAGTGCTAGTCACGAGTAGATATTTTATGTTGCATGTTCTAGTCGGAGGTTTAATTTAAGAAAAATATAATATTGTGATGATTAAAACAGGTGTAAAATCAAGTGAAATTTTTCAAATGATATATGCTTTGTGTTGCATTTACTTTAGATACGTTTTTTTTTTTGTTAAAATTGTCATTTCAGAAATCAATGAACAACAGGCAGCTCAACTGAAACAATATTTGCCGAAATTTAATAGAGGAAGAGGAAGAGATCAGGGTCGACAAAATACTCTACGCAATCCTGGAGCACGGCCTCGGATGGGCTTATTACAGAACCCTCAGGCACTGCTAGGTCAGGTTATTCAAGGCCTGCTCGGCCAGCAGCCCCGAATGGGTTTTCCATTTCCTGGGGGTCCACCAAACAGAGGCCCATTCCCTGCAGGCATGTTAAATTCACAGAATCCGAGAGGTCCCTTTATGAATCCAAGAGTACCAGCTGGACCTTTTAATGCTCCTTTCAGTGGACCCCAAAGGGGTCCTTTTCCTGGAAGGTTTCCAAACACTCCCAATCAGAGGGGATTGTTTTTTGGTGGTCAGCAGCCTGTTAGGCCTAATAGACTGCCATTAGGTCCTCAGCCTGGGTTACCAAACCAGAGGGTGGCGAATCCGAACCTGTTTATGCAAAGACCGCCACTTCTAGGACAACAGGGCATCAGGATTCCAAACTCTGGACCTAGACCACTTTTAGGAAACCCTGGGCCAGGTGGAAGGTTTATTAGGCCTGGTCAGAATTCAGCTGCTCAGCAAGGCCAGTCATTTCCAGCGCTTATGAACCAAGTAGCAAATGTTTTGAAGAACTCTATGGGAGCACAACAAATGAGGCCTCCGCTTGTAAGTAAATTAAAATGTATCACAGTTTAGAAATGAATGTGAATTTTAGAATGAAGAACTGAGAAAAGTATTCAAACCATTTTAGTATCAGCTAAATTCAAAATCAATAATCTGATAGTGCTACCAACAGCCTTATGAACATTGTTGATTTTATCTTTAACCAGATAATAATTTTGCATCAAGTTGTCACATATGCTTCTCACTGTAAGGGGTTTTTCTACATACTCCCCCCCACTCCCCCTTTTTTTTTTAAAAGAGAAAAAGAACAAACCCACTGCACAAGTAAAGTTAGTTGCATATCCTTTACAGAGTGTCGCACACCATCCCCAGCACTTTTTGGCTGTTGTGTTTTTTCTAGGCAAATGTTATGTTCACTAGTGCCTAGGCCACAGATGCCTACATACCCTAACATGCTTGTCATAAAAGTTATCTAGTGAGGGTTTTGCTGAAATCAAATTTGTTTGGCTAAAAGATGCAGATATCATAGCCTAGCTGTAAACCACAACACAACTTGCCAACAACCATTTTTTTAGGGAGAAGCATAAGATAGATATTTATTTGAGCACAAATATAAAACAAATATATCTGACATTTATATCAAGAGAAAGTAGAAAATATTTTGACCATCAAATCTAATGGTGAGAATTTATCAGTTTTTTTTTCTATTCAGAAAATAATTGAAAACGGTGGAATCTTTTTAGAAAAGTTCAAGTTTAAGAAAAGCTGTAGATTAAAAGAAAGAAAGAAAATTACCAATCACTTGCACTCATTTCTCAACAAAAATATGTGACAAATTAAAGTACAAATCACATAGTTTCAAGACCAGACAAGGTAAGTCAAACGTCATCTGGAGTGTTTACGGGTTTCCAAGAGTCACTGATTATACTACATAGAGCACCTTATATTGTAAAAGTTGAGTAAATGACCCTTTTTATGCCATTGATGTATCAGTCTTATAATGCTGGACTGGTGTTTATGTGTGCAGTCAATTAGTTATCATTTACTAGATTTGGTTGATTTCATTGAACCAAATCTGAGCACCTTGAGCTTGAAGGAAACCCTACCTCTCCGGATGGATCTCCTAGTCAAAAGGCCAAAATTAAAACTTTTTTGTCTCAAATAATTGCTTTATTCAGTCAGCATTTCATGCCACCTATACAAGGGACTTCAGATGAAAACTTTTAAAAGGCATGCATCACCATACTGCACCTTCCTTCCGTTAGGAATTTCTGTAGGTTTCACCTCTTCACCGATTAGAAAAAAAATGGAAATCAAAATGCTGCTCCTCTTTGGTGTGTGTCAAAAGTGGGGCAGCCATTTTTAAACTGTCCTTATTATGTCACTGTGTTCGTCTGCACTGAGATGTCATGTGCTTAAGACTCTTAATATCCTTAACAATATTGATGTGTTACAAGATGGTGGCTCCCCATGTGGGTTCTGGGGTCCCATTGTGGGGAAAATGAGAATGGACCCACTGCCTACCAAAAACAAGCGTGTCCTAAGTCGACTAATTGGAGAGTTTCCTTTGAAGTCTGAGTACATCTGCCTGAGAGGTAAGGAACCAACAGTCTGCAGTCAAGTGAATCAGATTTGTAAAACTAATGCACATGCAACACTCGGGTTCTGGAGCAGGACTGCAGTTCAGAAGTGGGCGAAAAACCAGAACTTTTCGCCAGAGTGTACAGCGGGTGAACGCAAAGAAGAAAGAAGACAAGATGGTGGCAAGATTATTGTAATTTCTAGCACACTTTTAAGGTATCATTTGATACCCCCTTTATATGTCAGATTTGTCAGTATTTAACTAAATTTGTCTGCCCTGTAGATGATGCCAAACAACAGGCCACCAGTTCAACAGATAAGACCATTTCAGGGCTTAAATCGATTCCAGCATCCTGTTGGTCAGCCGCCCGGGGCTCCTAGATTCCCGCCCAGAATTCCAGGTCCTGGAGGTGCATTTATGAATTCAATGATCCGAGGCAATCAGCAGCATTTTTTAAATGGTCATGGTGGAATGATGTTTGGAAACCAAACAATGAACCCCAGATTTCCGGTAAGACTGCATTGGTTATTCTTAATCTCAGTTTGTTTGTTTAGTCATTGAGATAAAAGCTTTAAATGTTTTATTGCCAGACAGGTCATACCATGAATTGGGAGGAAACAAATATTACAATGGCCTGTGTCATCTGCGAGTATTTCTACTAGAGTCTCTCTTCTGTTTCACATTACTTAAAATTGTTATTTTCCTTAGATTTAGGGTCAGTTGTCTGTTCGGCACAATACGCAGATTTAAAAACCATTAAACAGTTACATTAGTTATATTTTTTTTGCCCGAAGAAAAGTTAGACTCAAATTGCCAGCTCATTTGCTCTTGTGAAAAAAAGTAAAGAAAAGCCTGTCTTCAGAAGTTCCACAAAAACATACTGTCTGATTTGTTCAAGGTTTAACTAGACAAAATGTGTATAAAGCATAAGTAATCAGTGATCCAAGAAGTGCCAAACTTTATATATCTGGGAATCAGTTATCTGTATGAAACTAGTAGTACATGTTGTGCGAATGTTTGTGTATATACATTTTTGAAGTAGTTATATTTGTATCTGTGTGTGTGTTATTGTATGTATACTCATGTTTTTGTATTGTTTATGTGTTTGCGTGTACATGAATGTAACCATGTATGTATAAATGTATGTATGTATGTACTCACACACGTGCATGCATTTATGTATGCAAGTGTGAATGTATATATGTGTGTATGCATGTGTGTATGTGTATATACATGTAACGTTTTTCTTTCGCAGACGCCTTTTGGAGCTGCAGGTATTGGCAAACCATTTAGAATGGGTGTCCCAATGCAGCAAAGAAAGTAAGTAAAACAAGCAGAGTTAAGAGACAGTTTACCTAACAAGAAGAGAGTGCCATGAGAAATATTTATATATGTATTCATTAAAAAAAAGTAGGTAGGTAGTACATTAGATACTTTAACTACAAATACTGCACCGAATTGTTGGAAAGTCAGGGCTGCTGATTAATAATAATAGTTGTCTACCCTTGGGTTTAGAGGTTATTTTGACATACATTTTTGTCTCTTTGCTAATTTATTTTATGTTTCAAATGGTAATCCTTTCCATAAAAATCATGCCCCTTAGTTCTGAAGACTCCTTATTTTCCAGAGCCTCACCATTCTCTTTGGCTTGGTGTTGTATCGTATATATTTCCTGGTAGTTTTAATCATTTTATGTTGTCAGTGGTTTTAACCTAAGTTTTTCTAAAGTACACATTGGAATGTAAGATCATTAAATCATTTGATTAGTTTCATTGGATGTTAACTAAGATGGTTAACTTATCAGTGTTAAGAACATGCATCTCTTTAGGTCTGATCTCACATATAATATGGCAGATGAAGCCATAATTAGTTTTATCTATATGCTTGTCGAAGTTGAAGACACACACAGTGTTATAAATATCTTCAGAACATTTTTGGGCCTTATTATTTTAACGAACATATTTTTTTAAACTTTAATTGTAAAACTAGGAAAAAAATATTCAAAAAAAATTATGGGAACAAAAAGTAACCATCATTGCCTAAATGGAAATTTTTCAATAAATTAAACAAGGTGTTGTGGGTAGGTACTGTCACCTGATCTGTACAGTTTGTACAGGAAAATAATTAGATCCAAATAAAATATATAAGGAATAACTTGCAGTTAGTTGAAATGATTGTTATAATTCCAAAAGATATTTGAAACAAATGTCTAAGTTTGAATATACAAAATGTGGTCTCTTTCTGCATTATGTCACATTGACTCTTGAATAAAATAAATAGCAAGAAATCAACAATGCATTTATTTGTAAGTCTATGCTGAATTGTCCAGATTTATTTAACTGTGTGGTTGTGTTAGAGGTAGAAATGTTTAGTTTTGGACTTTTGCAGACAAAACATTAAAAAGTTCCTTGTCCGAAAAGCTGTCATGTCAGTAATGGGTGACAGTTTCTGTCTTAGTGCCTGAACTCATCAGTTTTGTTTTTCACATCCTGGTTTCTGCTTTGTATTTAATTGTCTCCAGTCCAGTATAGAATCTGATACTTTTACTCACTTAGTTACTTTATGACAATTATTAATTTACTACCACTGCAGTTTGATAATTGGTTTTGTTTAAGTAAGTTGCCACACACTGAAAAAGAGATTAAACTGTTATTCCCTGATAAAGGATTTATAAGTCTCTGTTAGCTGCTTTAACATGTTTGCTGCTAGTTTACAGTTTTATGTTTCTGTTTTGCTGTTGTTGTTGACCATCTTAAACCAATCGAAATGGACAGATTTTATAAGTAGTCGTAGAGAATCTTTTACTTTGAGAAGGTAATTCTTCTGAAGCATTGAATGCAAAAGATTACACATTCATGAACTTAGGTATACCACATACCACCCAAAAGCTCATATTAGGCCCCAAAATACAGAAATTCAAACCACGTGGCTTGGATACATGAATGATTATATTGCAGTCCTAAGCACAGTGTAGCTGGTCATTCGTTGAATGTTGCTAGTTGCAACTTACTAGAAAGATCAAACCTTCTTTTTGCTTTTTTTTTTAAACATTCTTTCTTCAATCAAGGTATTCTAAGAATGTTTCTGTGACCTTTTGAAACATGTTAGTTTTCTTCTGTAGGTTTTGTGATATGATCCATCATTTATATCTTGTATTTTGCCAGGAACGAATCATTTCTCACAGTATTTGTTTACTGTTTTGTGCGATAGACTCTTCATGCTTTGTAACAGTGGTGAACATGAGCATATGGGCGCCTTCCCTCATTTTTGTGGGAAAATAGAATAGACCCATTGCCTCCCTGACAAGCATGTAATAAAAGGCGAATAATTAAAAGTTTGCTGGAATCGGATGTGTTTAAACCTATTTGTAGACCAAAACACTAGGTACCTAACCACACTTTAAAGTTTGAAGGCAGAAGTATTAGTTTTAAGCTCATTAGACAACTTCTAAAACTGAAATTGCCTCTTGTCTTCATTAGTTTATTTGATTAAAAGTTTAGCTGAATTTTAACAGTAGAAACTAAATAGGATTTTTAAATCTGCATTTATTGCTAGTATAGTAGCTTGTATGCTCATAATTTGCAAGCATGTATTCTACAAGTTTTTGTTAAGATATAGTAAGTAATTCAAGTCACTTTTCTCCTGTATGGATTTAAAATTAAGACTCTATAGAAATGCAAGTTAGAATCCAGGACGTTGGATGCAGATGCCTTAAAACAGTTGGTTGCTTATGAAATAGTGAATTAAAAACAAATGCCAGTGTTAGAGACGAATTAAATGTGTATGTAGAGAATAAAGAACTACTGTGTTATATGTGTTAACACCTACTCAGGAGTAATTATCCAGGAATCAGAGACGTGGAAAGCAAAGAAAGTCCTGGATTATTAATATGGAATAGTGAACAAAGTGCGGTAGCTCTTTGCTGAGGATAGAGTAGCGGATAATTATGGATACTTTCATCATGACATCCATTTAACCCCACACTAATGGTTACAGGATAAAATGATGATGATCCTACATGATAACAAGTGTGAAAGGAGCAGAAGTCTCCAGTGATATGTCATTGTAGTTTGTGTGTGTTTTCAAATGAATGAAAGTAGTGAAGTTGAGAGGATAAATTGTTTGTCAGTGCCGGTAGTGCTTCTCTGTTCATTGTTTTAGTACACATGATGAAAAACGGAGGCAGGTTGCACTAACTTGTTCTTGTGTCATTTTGTGGTAAGCTGTTGTTTTTAGTGTTCACAGAAGACTAGAAGTTACCATTTTATGGCAATGTCCTTATCTGTTACATTTTAATCAGTGATTATTGCATCCCAGATATATAAAACATTGCACTTCTTGAAATATATGCTATTCAGTATACACGGCTGCCCTATTACATTTGTTATGTATTTGTAAAGCAAATGCATAAGTAGACATTTTAACCTTCAAATTAAAAAAAGTGTGCAGATGTAATAACATTTCCAGGAAGGTAAAGCAGCTAATTCAATACATATACACACACACACCACACCGAGATTTTTAAATGCATGTTAATTGCCATGCGGGTCAAAACACTGTTCCAAATGGAATTTTCAGGTTAACATTCGTCTTTGATTGAGTTAGGCTTGGTTAACTTGGAGGTGCAGGCAAATGAAAGAAAATCTGTTTTTTCAGCAGACCGTGGTGAGAGCAGCATTCAGTAAATTATTTGTTACATGATGTTGTGCTTAGCCCATTCACCCCACCCACTGGACACTACAGCCTCAACAAACATGTAAATTAGGTTTGAGCCAAACAGCTCTCTGCCAGAGAGCCTCATGTAACTCCAGCTGGGTTGTGAAATATTTGTCCTGGAGCGAAAGAGTTAAAACAGCAGCTAAAGCATTCACTTGGCAAGTCATCTTGTTGGAAACTCCCTGTGTGGAAAGTCATTTCAGCGCATAATTACAGGGCAGGTGGGCCAGTAAGCTGGCCAGGTCTACCTAGGCTTGTCTCTTGGTCATTAGAAATAAGGTGCCCAGGAAAGGTATACTCTTCCTTGTTCTTGGAATTAATGGGTTGAAAGCCTGGCCTGTACTCAGCACACATTAGAAAACCATTCACAGTTAAAATTATAAACAGTGGGCTTCAACTTGACAAAATTAAAGACATTTGAAAAGCTACCATCATTTGGATGATGAAATGATTCAAATCTGTAAGCTGGAGAGAACACCACATTAGTTCCCCAAGAATCAGTGTGTGAGCAGTCACAGTACTAGATTTTTGTGAAGTTGATTTGCCTTGCTCAAAAAATTTTTTCAAGTTTTGTTACTAAATGACCAGTGTTACCATAAGTAAGGGAATCTAGCTTGAGAAAGGATTTTTTTAAAAACTGCAGCCTGGCTCTCTATCGTAGTTGGCTAAACCGGATTGGGCGGGCGACGAACTTTTTGTGGTCCGGGTTCACTCCCGGGGGTAGGCAGAAAAGCCAGATTTACGGTATTTACAATGGAATTAAGGCCGAAAGGTTGCGATATCTATAATACCGA